CACACATGCACACACACAATCATGCATATACACTTACACACACAAACACACACACTTATACAAAGACACAAACACACGCACCTGGACATGCAAGTATGTACACACAGATATGCGCACACACATGCACAGACACCTATACACACATGCATACACAGCGATACAAACACATGCACACACGCACGCATGCACATACACACACACACACACACATTCAAAACATTTCAGTGAGGAAGAACCCCATGCAGTGTCACGGTGGCGCAGTGGGTAGCATGATCGCCTCACAGCAAGAAGGTTGCTGGTTTGAGTCCCGGCTGGGTCAGTTTGCGTTTCTGTGTGGAGTTTGCATGTTCTCCCCGTGTTGGCGTGGGTTTCCTCCGGTTGCTCCAGTTTCCCCCACAGTCAAAACACATGCGCTATAGGGGAACTGATGAACTCAATTGGCTGCAGTGTATGAATGTATGAGTGTGTATAGGTGTTTCTCAGTGTTGGGTTGCAGCTGGAAGGGCATCCCCTGTTTAAAAAATTGGCTAAATAAGTTGGTGGTTCATTCCACTGTGGCGACCCCTGATTAATAAGGGGACTAAGCCGAAACTAAAATGAATGAATGAATGAAGACCCCCTGCATTTCTCTTTGATGAACATGCGAATCAAGCGTTTCTCTTAAGCTCTCCTCTAAGCCGGAGCGTGTCTCCGCTGCAGAAATGGAGTGTGAATGTATGGATCGGTGTGGTGTTTGCGAGTGTGTTTTGTGTGCTGTCAGATATGGATCTGCTGTAGTGCTCGCTCAGCGTTCTGCTGTTGTGTCCCGCAGGTCTGATCCGCCTGCAGGAGCTCATTAAAGCTCCGTCCAGATACAACATCCGGCTGAAGATCCGACAGCTCGCCGCCGACACCAAGGATGCCAAACCGCTGCTGAAGGAGATGAAGAAAGCCAAGGAGTTCCACGTCATCTTCGACTGCAGCCACGAGATGGCCGCGTGGATCCTCAAACAGGTCAAAAAGCATTTCCTCTTTATAATTAAGGGGGCAGTTCACACAGAAATGTACTTTATTAATTACTAGAGCTGTGGAAAAACGAGACGGTGCTTTAGGCTGGTGTTCAACAGCAGATGGCACTCTAAGCTAGTTTTTAACAGCAGACGGCGCTCTAGGCTAGTTTTTAACAGCAGACGGCGCTCAAGGCTATTTTTTTACAGCAGACGGCGCTCTAGGCTAGTTTTTTACAGCAAACGGCGTTCTAGACTATTTTTTTACAGCAGATGGCACTCTAGGCTAGTGTTTAACAGCAGATGTCGCTCTACGCTAGGGTTTAACAGCAAATGGTGCTCTAGGCTAGGGTTTAACAACAGACGACGCTCTAGGCTAGTTTTTAACAGCGGACAGTGCTCTAGGCTAGTTTTAACAGCAGACGGTGCTCTAGGCTAGTTTTAACAGCGGACAGTGCTCTAGGCTAGTTTTAACAGCAGACGGTGCTCTAGGCTAGTTTTAACAGCGGACAGTGCTCTAGGCTAGTTTTTAACAGCGGATAGTGCTCTAGACTAGTTTTAACAGCAGACGGTGCTCTAGACTAGTTTTAACAGCAGACGGTGCTCTAGGCTAGTTTTAATCAGCAGATGGTGCTCTAGGCTAGTTTTAACAGCAGATGGTGCTCTAGGCTAGTTTTAACAGCAGATGGTGCTCTATGATAGTTTTTAACAGCAGACGGTGCTCTAGGCTAGTTTTAACAGCAGATGGTGCTCTAGGCTAGTTTTAACAGCAGACGGTGCTCTATGATAGTTTTTAACAGCAGACGGTGCTCTAGGCTAGTTTTTAACAGCAGATGGTGCTGTAGGCTAGTTTTAACAGCAGATGGTGCTCTAGGCTAGTTTTAACAGCAGATGGTGCTCTAGGCTAGTTTTAACAGCAGATGGTGCTCTAGGCTAGTTTTAACAGCAGATGGTGCTCTAGGCTAGTTTTTAACAGCAGACGGTGCTCTAGGCTAGTTTTTAACAGCAGATGGTGCTCTAGGCTAGTTTTTAACAGCAGACGGTGCTCTAGGCTAGCTTTTAACAGCAGAAGGTGCTCTAGGTTAGTTTTTAACAGCAGATGGCGCTCTATGCTAATTTCTAACAGCAGGCGGTGCTCTAAGTTCATTTTTAACAGCAGATAGCGGTATAAGCTAGTTTTTAAACAGCAGATGATGCTCTAGGCTAGTTATAAAACATCAAACAGTGCTCTAGGCTAGTATTTAACAGCAGACAGTGCTCTAGACTAGTTTTAAACAGCAAATGACACTTTAGTAGGCTAGTTTTTAACAACAGATGGCACTCTTGGCTAGTTTTTTTTTTTTTTTACAGCAGATGGTGCTTTAGGTTAGTTTTTACCAGCAGACGGTGCTCTAGGCTCGCTTTTTTAACAGCAGATTGCGCTCTAGGCTTGTTTTTAACAGCATATGGTGCTCTAGAATAGTTTCAAGCAGCAGATGGTGCTCTAGACTAGTGTTTTAATAGCAGTGGGTGCTCTATGTAGTTTACCAGTGCTCTACCAATAGTTTGTCCTTGTTTTCTGGTTATTTAATATTTGCGGTATTTAATTCTCAGTTTCAGCATGGTTTTCATTCACGTCTCTGGTATAAATGATGATGGCTCGTCTTCTCCAATCATAATTCACATGTTAAATCTCAGTGTTAGAAATTCTATTAGTGTGACATTATTACAAAGGCCTCGAACCAGAATGGGAATGTAATTAAAGCCGGCGTTTTGGCCGCGGGGCTTTAAGATCTCTGATTAAAGATGCAGCACTGATAAAGCGTCTCTCATTTATTAAAAGCGCAGCGCTGATGGAGGTCTTTCTGTAGGATTCTGATGTAGATCACTGTATATGCAAATCACATAGACACTGAAAAAAATTATTCAAAGATGATTCCTTGGATTTACTCAATTTTTTCATGTTAAGGGGTTGTAAACAATTTATTCAGGTTGAATTTAAACAAACCAATTAATTTGAACATTATTAAATTTCATTTGATTGTTTAAATTCAACACAAATAAATTGTTTACAACAGTTCTGCATGCAACACTTTTTCAGTGCAGTGCATGACAGACATGCTCATGTTCAAATATATGTCATATATTTAAAATTATTTATCCTCCTTTGAAATAATAATTCTCTCAATAGTTTCCACAGTGTTTCCTGTTGCATATTTCTTCTGGAGAAAGTCTTATTTCTTTTAGTTTGGCTAACATAATAATAATAATAATAATAATAATAATAATGTTAAAGTTAATATTATTTACCCCCTTTTTAACCCACCCTTTTCCTGACTGGCTACAAAACTGCTTGCCTAGTTTACCTAGTTGGTTTGAACCATTAATATTCATGATATTATCTGATTTTTTTTCTGCAGGCTCTTTCAATGGGAATGGTGACAGAATATTATCATTACATCTTTACAACACTGGTGAGTTATTGATAAAACACTGTATTATTTATTAATTATAGAAGAGAATACTGCATTTTCATTTTGGAGTCTGACTCAACTCTTTCTTTTTAAGGTAAATTTATGTGATCTGTTTTCCAATAAAATCGTAGACGTGATTCTTATGTTGAGTCACAGTTCAAAAAGAGCATTGCTAGCATGAATTAGCAAGTTCAGGGCATGTTTTAACAAATTGCTAAAATGGTCTGGCATTGGGCTAGCATGAGTTGTAACATGTTGTTGAATTTACATGTTGCTAGAATTGTTCCTTGCATAAATCAGTACATGGCTAACATGTTTTAACCAGTTTTTAGCATGATTAACATGTTTAACACAATGATAGCATGCATTAGCATGTTTTTTTTACCTTAAATGATCATCTTGTTAGCTTGTTTTCACATGTGGCTAACATGTTTTAACCTGTTTTAAGCATGGTTGACATGTTTAACAAAATGATAGCATGAATTAGCATGTTTTTTTACCTTAAATTATCATCTTGTTAGCTTGTTTTCACATGTGGCTAACATGTTTTAACCTGTTTTAGCTTGGCTAACATGTTTAACAGAACGCTAACATGAATTAGCATGTTTTCACTTTAAATGATCATGTTGTTAGCTTGTTTTTACCTGTGGCTAACATGTTTTAACCAATTTTAATCATGACTAACATGTTTAAAACAATGATAGCATTAATGTGCATGTTTTCACCTTAAATGATCATGTTGTTTACTTATTTTCACATGTAGCTAACATGTTTTAACCTGTTTTACCATGGTTAACATGTTTAACACAATGATACATGTGGCTTACATGTTTTAGCCGGTTTTTAGCATAGGTAACATGCTTAACACATTGATAGCATAAATTAGCATGTTTTTACCTTAAATTATTATGTTGTTAGCTTATTTTTACATGTGGCTAACATGTCTTAACCAGTTTTTAGCACGAATAACATGTGTAACACAATGATATCATGCATTAGCATGTTTTCACCTTAACTTATCATGCTGTTAGCTTGTTTTCACACATGCCTAACATGTTTTAACCAGTTTTTAGCATGGATAACATGTTTAGCACTATAAATTAGCCTGGTGTCACCTTAAATTATCATGTTGTAAGCTTGTTTTCACACATGGCTAATATGTTTTAACCTGCTGTAAGCATGGCTAACATATTTAACATAATGATGGCATGAATTAGCATGATTTCACCTTAAATTATCATGTTGTTAGCTTGTTTTTACATGTGGCTAACTTGTTTTAACCTGTTTTAAGCAAGTGTAACATGTTTTAACACAATGATAGCATGAATTAGCATGCATTTACCTTAGATTTTTATGTTGTTAGCATGTTTTCACACATAGCTAACATATTTAACACCGTGATATCACAAATTAGTATGTTTCACCCTAAATTATTATGTTGTTAGCTTGTTTTAACTTGAGGCTAACATGTTTTAGCGTATTTGCTAACCTAAATTGAAGTGGTTATATGGCTTAACATTTTGTTATTGTGTTTCTATTATATTTATTGTTAGAATTGTTTGCTAATTTGTAGTTGCAATTAACATGTCATATTTATTAGATATCACTAGCATGCACTTACATGTTTCTAGCTTAATCTAACATGTTTTACCTGTATGCTAGCAATGAAATAGCATGGTTCTACCATTACCTAATGGCTATTTAATTAACATCCTGTTAACATAAATGAGGGTGATGCTACCATGGTTAGCAGTAAACATGTTTTAGCAGGTTTAAAATTGTTAAAACCTTAAGACATCGCTAGCTTGTATTTAGCATGTTGTTAACATGAATAAGCAAGACATGTCCATGCTTAGCAATCAGCATGTCACAGCACATTTGAAAGCTTTAAAACTTTCAGACATCGCTAGCTTGTTTGAGGACGCCTTAGCATGATGTTAACATTAGCATGATGCTACCATGCTTAGCAATCAGCATGCTCTAGCATATCCAAGAGCATTAAAACTTAAGAGTTCGCTAGCTTTGCATGCTTATAATTTTGTTAGCATGTTTTACTATGCTGCTAGCATGATTTTTCCTGATTGTTAGCATAGCCTAGGCTAGTGGTTCTGCTCTGTAGATAGCTAAGAAGTTAGTCTCATCAGTTATAAACAAACAGTTTTGATATCAGAAAGTAATCTTCTTCCAAATGTAAAGCAAGGTTGTTTTGCTGAACTCTCCTACAGCCTGTTCAAAGCATAAACACATTTAATTGTGATCAATTAGTTTGGTAAATAAGAGTGATTCTGTTTCTCCAGTGGATGGTCTTGATTTGAGAGCATTTATTCAAGAAGGGGCTGTGTTTTGTGCCGTGTTTGTTTTCTGTTTTTGTGAGGTTCAAACAAGGCAAATATTATTCAAGCGAGCAGAAAGATCAAACCTAAATCAAAGGAAAACAAGTTTACTGGTCTCACACCGCTGCTGCTGATGTAACACAAACCCCCAGTGAATTATTAATGATGTTTTGCTTCTGCAGTAATTGTGTTGAAAATGCCTAAAATAAACAATATTATAGTAATTAATAATAAAAACTATAGTGTTTTACTGTGTATGCATTATAGCCTTCACAACAGTTTGTAATTAATGCTGAAGAATACTGTAGTATTAACTATAGTCAACTGATACACTGTATTATAATTTAGTTAAACTGTGGTGTGTTGTAGTATAATATAACCTGTGGTTGTAGAAAACTACAGTACTGGGCATTTGTTTATATTATTATAGTTGTTGTGTTACCATAGCAACTATAGAATCACCACGACAGATAGAATCGCCACAACAGATCAATTACAATAGTTGTTGTGTTGCCATAGCAGTTGAGGAATCACCATAACAGATCAATTACTGTAGTTGTTACCATAGCAACTGTAGAATCGCCACAACAGATTAATTTATTTACTATAGTTGTTGTGTTTCTATAGCAACTGTAGAATCACCTCAACAGGTTAATTTATTTGCTGTAGTTGTTGTTTTACCATAGCAACTGTAGAATCACCACAACAGATCAATTACTGTAGACTTTGTGTTCCCATAGCAACTGTAGAATCACCATAACAGATCAATCACTATAGTTGTTGTGTTACCATAGCAACTGTAGAACCACCACAACAAATCAATTACTATAGTTGTTGCGTTACCGTAGCAACTGTAGAACCACCACAACAGATCAATCACTATAGTTGTGTTACCATAGCAACTGTAGAATCCCCACAACAGATAAATCACTATAGTTATTGTTACCATAGCAACTGTAGAATACCCACAACAGATCAATCACTATAGTTGTTGTGTTACCATAGCAACTGTAGAATCACCACAACAGATCAATCGCTATAGTTGTTGTGTTACCATAGCAACTGTAGAATCACCACAACAGATCAATCGCTATAGTTGTTGTGTTACCATAGCAACTGTAGAATCCCCACAATAGATCAATCACTATAGTTGGTGTGTTTAAGTTTGTTTCTGTGTGTGTGTGTAGGATCTGTTTGCTCTGGATATGGAGCCGTATCGCTTCAGCGGCGTCAACATGACCGGTTTCCGCATTTTGAACACGGAGAGTCCGCAGGTTTCCTCCATCATTGAGAAATGGTCAATGGAGAGACTGCAGGCGCCACCCAAACCAGACTCCGGCCTACTGGACGGCTTCATGACGGTCAGTGTGTGGGTGTGTGTATATGTGAGTGTGAGTTTGTGTGTGTGTGTGTGTGTGTTTGTGTGTGGTTGTCTGTGTGTGAGTTTGAGTGTGTGTGTGTGTGTGTGTGTGTGTTTGTGTGTGGTTGTCTGTGTGTGAGTTTGAGTGTGTGTGTGTGTGTGTGTGTGTGTGTGTGTGTGTGTGTGTGTGTGTGTGTGTGTGTGTGTGAGAATGCTGAAGTGGGGATGATGCGTCTTCTTGAAAAGTCTTTATCCGTCTTTGTGCTTTTGTTCTTTTCATCTCTCTCAGATTGTGTGTGTGTGTGTGTGTGTGTGGTTCAGAGCAGCCTTCATCACTCACCGATCGTGAACAAACAGATGTGAGCACTTGAGAAACCGTTTAAAGACACACACACGCCCTCCTTCATGAAACCTAGAGAGCATCACTAAGATCCTGTTCAAAACACTGAGATCAGCTCTCTAAGATCCTCGCTTATGCAGGAATCCCAGAATGCACTGCAGTCAGCTCCGCTCTGCCAAATGTGCTCTAATAACATTTGTCATAAGGTTATTTCTGAACCTACACTTAAAAAAAATATGTTTGTGGTTATTTTAACATTCATTCATTCATTGTCGGCTTAGTCCCTTTATTAATCCGGGGTCGCCACAGCGGAATGAACCACCAACTTATCCAGCAAGTTTTTATGCAGCGGATGCCCTTCCAGCCGCAACCCATCTCTGGGAAACATCCACACACAAACATTCACACACAGACTCATACACTATGGACAATTTAGCCTACCCAGTTCACCTGTACCGCATGTCTTTGGACTGTGGGGGAAACCGGAGCACCCGGAGGAAACCCATCCGAAGGCAGGGAGAACATGCAAACTCCACACAGAAACGGCAACTAAGCCGAGGCTCGACCCAGCGACCTTCTTGCTGTGAGGCGACAGCACTACCTACTGCGCCAATGTCTCGCCATCTTAACATTTAAAAATATATATAATTATGTCACACTCAATCCAAAATACAGGTACATTTGAAGCATTTCTCCTTCATTTTTCATTCATTCAATTGAACTAATATACAACAAATGTAAATGTAATGTATTTAGGTTTGAAGACAACAAGTAGTGCTACATGAGTATGTGGTGCATTCACTAGTAAACATTGTTTTTCATCATTGTAGGGTGGTGTTTAAGTGGATAGAGGACACTCAGAAGTGCACTGTGTTTTATAGACTTACAGCAGTGAAAATAAGTATTGAACACGTCACCACTTCTCTCAGAAAACATATTTCCAAAGGTGTCGTTGACCTGAAATTTTCATCAAATGTTGGTAACAACTAAAGAAATCCAAATATGAAGTGACAAATCTGATTAGTTTACAAATGAAGTTCTGTGTAATAAAATGAAATGACGAAGGGAAAAACTATTGAACACATGAAGAAAGTGAGGTCTATTTAGGCAGTGAAAGCAGCTGAAATCTATTCTCTCTGGCAGCTTAAAGACGCCTCTCATATGGAGAATGAAGCCTCATGCATATCTCAGGTGTGAGTTTCTCACAGACTTCAACAGAGTGTCAAAATCTTGATGCTTCTGTGAGTCTCGTCTGTCAGATCTGAGCTTTACTCTGTATTCTCTATTGGATTGGGTTCAGGTGACTGGCTGGGCCATTCTACAGCGTGGTTTTCTTTCTCTGAAAGCATCTGAGAGTCTCCTCGGCTGTGTTTTGGATCATTGTCTTGCTAAAATATCCACCCTGGTTTCATCTTCATCCTCCTGCTAGTGTAGATGTTGGCCTGAAGCAGCTGATCTTCATTTACACTGAGGAAGAGCAGAGGCTTGCTGAAGAACTACTGAGAGATTTCAGCTGCTGTCTGGGCTTTTACTGCTAAACTACACTTTCTTTTCTTCATGTGTTCAATACTTTTCCCCTCCGTCAATTCGTTTTATTACACAGAACTTCAGTTTTTAACTGATCAGATATGTTTTGTTTGCATATATGGATTTTGTTGGTTGTTGTCAAAATCTGGGGAAAATTTCAAGTAAACGGCACCTTTAAAAATTTGTTCTAAGAAAAATGTTGACATGTTCAATACTTATTTTCACTGCTATATGTATATATAGGCACTAACGGTCAAGACTTGGGTCATTTTTATTTATTTATTTTTTTCAAGAAAACTATTCTGTTTATCAAGGTGACATTTATTAAATGTAAAACAAAAGTTAAATTGTTAAATATTTGTTTTTTAAATATTTATTTATTACTTATTGTTTGTAGTTTCAAACAAAATTATCACTCCAGACATTATTGCTTTTATTTCTATTACCAATAATGATAATAATAATAAATAATATGAGAGTGATTTCTAAAGGATCATGTGACTAAAGACTGGAGTAATGAAGCTGAAAATTCATTATTAAAATCCCTGAAATAAGTTATTCAATTATAAACTTTTGAACAGCTATTTTATAGTGCAATAACATTTTACAATTTTACAATTTGTACATTTTTTTATTAAATAAATGCAGCTTTGGTGAGCAGGAGAAGCTTATTTTAAATAATTTAAAAGTCATACTGACCCTAAACTTTTGACCAGTAGTGTATATATATATATATATATATATATATATATATATATATATATATATATATATATATATATATATATATATATATATACCCCCATATACATATATGTATATATCAAATGTTCTATTAACGTGGCGGGAACCACCTTCATTCATGAGATCCTTGATTGCTAAGTGGAATTTTCCTGCAAAACACTTCCATATTCTCAATAAACCACTTTATAGACATTTCCTTTCAGTGTTTACAGCACTTGTGTGTGTTTTGAGTGTGTGTATGTGGCTGAAACTACATGTGCATGTCATGTTCATATTAGCATATGTGAATTATTCGGTTGCGTAGAGCACTCCCTCACGGATGTGACCAATTCGCAAACCTGTAGACAAGCATTCAACTCAGCCTGAGCTCATTAATGCGTCTGATAAGGAGAATCTCTCAGCGTGGTCTTCAGGAGTTGCTCTGCGAGTTGACAAATTGTGTTTTTTTACAGACAAACAGATTTTTGCAAACAAGACGTCCCGAGGGGAAACCATGGCAACCCCAGCAGAACCCTGGAGATTAGAACCGTGGCTAACATCAGGAACCCGTCAAAGCCTGCAAATTAAGATACAATTTCAACCTATTTGCCGGGCACTGCATTAAGCGTTTCATTTTTTCCTTTTCATATTTGATCCATCAGAGCTTTCATGACTCATGTGCAGGAACATGCAGGTTTACAGATCTTGCATGCTCCTGAAACCTCCTGTAAGTCTCTGGTTTATTTTAAGATATGGTTTGAGGGCCCACAGGAGGAGATGTCATTTGTCATGATGACGATAATAAATATTTTGCTCATTATTATACAAGCATTCAGTTTAAAGTGCAACTGTTCTGGCAAGAGAATAAAATTGCGGAACTGCAACTGCGTTATTTGCGTTATTTATTTATTTTTTTACGTGTTAAATATTTCTAAATAATCACGTGCATTAACGCGCTAATTTTAACAGCCCTACTTTAAATATAATGCACTCTTTTCACATTTGCACGTTTCTCAGCAGCAGAAGTGCTCATAGTTGGTAAATTCAGGGCGCAGTGAATGGTAGAGCACAACAAATCATTCTTTTACAATCCTATTTGCTGAAATAATACAAGAAAAACTCCAGGATGGTGTTATCATGACTTTCAGAAAGAGGAAAACAATAGTGTGAGACTGATAATGGCAGCCGGAAGAGAGAATTATGTCAGATTTACTGTCCCGCCCCCATACACACTGCATTCCTTATACTACTTTTATCTATTAGTATCTAAAATAATAATAATTCATTCATTCATTCACCTTCGGCTTAGTCCCTTTATTAATCCGGGGTCGCCACAGCGGAATGAACCGCCAACTTATCCAGCATGTTTTTACGCAGCGGATGCCCTTCCAGCTGAAACCCATCTCTGGGAAACATCCATACACTCATACATTCACACACATACACTATGGACAATATAGCCTACCTAGAGCACCCGGAGGAAACCCACGTGAACTCAGGGAGAACATGCAAACTCCACACAGAAACTGAGCCGAGGATCGAAGCAGCGACCCAGTGACCTTCTTGCTGTGAGGTAACAGCACTACCTACTGCGCCACTGCCTCACTCCAACATTTTTTGTTTTATATTTGGTGCAAGTTTATCAGCAAGAGACAACTTTGTTCTCTTTGACTCATTGGATGGAAACACTCACGAATATTTCATTCACAAACATTTGATGCAAAATTCAACTGAAATCTTTTGATGGAAACAGCTACTGTAAGCACCACTGAAGGTCTGCTTTCAGACGAGTGTGTGTTAGAGCATCTATTGTTCTGATTTCTCATCAGCTTTTTCATCTCTTTGTTTTCAGATGACAAGCAACAAACCGCAAATGAACTTAGCGGCGCGCGCTCTGAGCTGATGTGGACGGGTAAGTAATCGTCCTCCTGCTAATGAATTCCATTATCTGTCCGTCTGATTGCATCTGAAGAGCAGCTTTACTCATGCAAATGAGAGCGGAGCGAGATCTCGCAGAGGGAAAGTCATAAACATCCGTAACTCTAATGAAGCGCTTCATCAGCTCTCGGCTTATTTATTATTTAGCCCAGTCCTTTATCTTCCCATATTAATAATAGTTCAGCCGGACGGATGATTTATTGGAGGTTTGAGAGCACAGTTCTCTGGTGGAGATTCACTTGATATCTGTGGGATTTTCCAGCAGGAGACAGTCAGCAACATGAATGTTATATATATATATATATATATATATATATATATATATATATGTGTGTGTGTGTGTATATAAGTTTTATATAATCTTTTTTAACACATTTCTAATCATAATAGTTTTAATAACTCATCTCTAATAACTGATTTATTTTCTCTTTGTCATGATGACAGTAAATAATATTAGACTAGATATTGTTAAG